GATTTGAAGGTGTTACTCACTGAGGGGTTGGAGTCAAAAACATGCTGCACCACACGCGTGACGAAATGCCACATCGACTCACACGATGAATGCGGGAATTTCTAATTGGCAGAAAACGGGATATGATGAGACTTCGCAGTTCTGTTGCGAAGAAAATTGGCCCAGACATGATTTGGGTCGGGAACTGCTGGTAGTGTGGCAAATTGCTGTAGGACAAGCCCTCCCTGCGGTCTGGAGGCCCCGAACAACGGTTCAAACTTCCCCATAGAGGGAAGAAGAACCAGACTGCCCCTCCAAAGAATGGATTTTTCTGGGTCTTTTCTCCCTGAAGGAGACCTGACACGGTGGGGGTTCTCGTGGGTACAGATTGTATAGGAAGTGGGTGGAGGATTACGATAAACCGCCCCCAAAAGTTGACCAACCCCACGAGAAGGTGTGAATAACACGTATTTCCACCATACCCAGATCACTCAGTTGAATCCTGCATATAATGACTCACTGCAAGTTCTCAAGGGTGAGTATCCTGTCGCAAGTACTCTAGAAGAAGCCAACCATCCGCAAATTGGTGAATGTAGTTCTTGCCCAATGGACCCACATTGTCGCCCCTCCCGCCCAGGTCTCGACAAATTGCATCACGGTACACTTAACAAAAGCTAGGCGACATCCAATATTTACCACCACATTTCGTGAAAATGTCCTCCAGGACGAGAGGGCTACACAGCCCTAATCCTACGCAATCTACACAAATAAAGTGGTACTGCGGGTAGACTCGCAAATGACTTCGCATGCCGAGTGTCCACAGAAGGTGTACCCTTTGAAAAGAACAGTGATGGCACACACACACACAGTTCAAAACTGCCCCACCCGAAGGGATTTATGACTGGCAAGAAATGGCAAGGTATTAATAACCGACAAGATTAAGCGTCGATGAGATATTCTTTTCGCTTGCGCACCGCAATGAACAGAAATAGAGGACAACTGGCACAACCAGCTGGTTGTGGTGCTGAGGCCAGCACAACTTTGGTGGGACAGCCTCTCTTTTCGTTTTGGGCCACTCTTCCTTTTCAGGGTTTGAGTTGTGCCTGTCCCGAACCGTGGATGTATGGACGAGATTTCACCGTGGTAGTCATACACACAGGGACCCACAACATCTGGGCACACAACTAAACAACGACACTTAATCTAGTGCTAAGAAGGGCCACGAAGGGAAAGGAACCCCGTTTTGGCTATGACAGGTTTGCGAAACTCTTTTTCCGATACGAGGTACGAACATTCTCTGATGGCGCAAAACTTTGTCGCCTAGCACCCATTTCTGCTGTTTCTGAGGACGTGGGCCCAATGGACTTTGGTCGGCGCGATCAGAGGCGATCAATAAATTCGAGGAAGGCGGGAAGCCATTTTCAGGCAATCGGGGGCAATCAGCTGATCGCGATCAGCTGATCGCTCCAACTCGATCAATCGCATCAAACAGCCCGATCAGACCCGATCAGACACAATCAGCCCCGATCAGTTGATTGCATGTGATCGGGGACATGGGCGACGTACGCGAAATGTAACAAGGTTCGCCATGAGGTCTAAAAAATTCTCGCGATAGTTCGAAGGCTCTTGAGCAGACCTTGTGCGCATTGCTAAGTTCGCGACATTACCACGATACTCAAAGTCGCTAATCTCGCCAAAATTGGGATGCGACTACCAGGTAATGAGTAGACGGCTGTCACGCAAGAAATCTAAATATTCGAGGAAAATCAGCTCTGATCGGGCGGCGCGGGAAAACCGATCAAAAGCAATTCGATCCAATCCAACCCGATCCGATCCGAGCCGATCAAAGTCGATTGGGCCCACGTCCTGACATTCATCGAATTTCGAGCAACCAAGCGGGCTTGGCCGATTCCGGGACGAAACAAAAGGGGCAAGCCGATTTTATAGCCAAGACGTTTTCAGCCAAGAAGTCCCTTGCGGGTTCTCTGGCGGACTGAAACAACAAAACTCAAATCCAAAAATGGACTCTGTGTTGCAGGGTTCGCCCAAAAGTATAGGAAAACCGGGAGAATATCGTACGATATTGGGACCTGGCGATATCAAACATTGTACGTGCTGGGGCATGTACACCTAGCCCGCGCCAAATTCACTAGGGCCATTTTCACCCCCCTGTGTAATTATTTCTGATTTACCCGATATTAAAAGGCTGTTTCGAATGCTTCCGTTTTAAAGAGGGTCGTTTCAGACATCTCTGACGAGTTAGAGGGGATGAAAAACGGGTCACAGTAAACTATGGTCGAGTCGCCGTGGTAAGAGTGCGGTTTTTTTTTATCTCGACACTTGGCTGAGTGGTTTGTAGCCTGAAAATTCTGGAAGTTTACTGGAAAAAGCCAAAATCGGGTTCAGGGTGCTTGCCGAAACAAGTTGCAGGGCGTGAAAATAGCGCGGGCTAGGTGTACTGTATTCTGTTTGTTGGCCAAGCACCCAGCAACATAATTTCCGTGTGAAAAAGATGCTCTCAAAATAGTCCACCAACAAGGACACCCCAACAGCACGAATGGTCGGGTTTTACTGACAGCGACACAGTTATTAAAAGCCCGTGCGGAGCACACTATTATGGCCATGTCACTATTTTCTGACCGTTATTAAAAAACAGGCGAGTCTTCCAACTGTTCTCACAATACATTTAAGGCTGGTAACCCTTCTTTCTCAAAGTAAAGAAACAGTACTCCAGTGCATATCAAGTGTATTTCCGTAATTAACATCCTTTGTCGCGACCAAGGAATGTGACACGTTCCGTGAAAAGCTGGCTCTGTCTTGTTCCACGTCTTTTGTCAAGTTGTATCCCCTAACAGCAGTGAACTGTACAGTATTTTTCCACCACCACCACCACCACCACCAACAAAAATGTTTGACGCAAACTGGCGCAATGCTCGTCGAGATTGACAGTTACATGGGTTTGTGAAACCTAGTGGGGATATCGAGCCGACCACATGGTATGCAAATCAAGAAACTGTATGTGGCACATGAGGTGAGGACGGCTGAGATATGTCCACATCAGCAAGACTGCTGTCCTGCTTCAATCTCAACAGTCGAGTTGCTGTGCTGGCAGAAGGTTCACGAATGGTGTTGACGGGGGGGTTTGTTTGATAGGATTTCGGGTTCGTTTGTTGGATTTATCCATCAGATACCCCGGAGTTCAGGGCTATACAACGTGCTGTAATGTCTTTTGTGGATATAGATAATTTGAAACACTACAACGGAAAAAACGTAGACGCACAAGGAACGATAGTAGTTGGGCGAAATGGGAGGCTACGTGGAGTTGTCAATATGTTGCTTGTATTTTCTCTACTTGCTACGTTCAAAACTAGTCGAAATTGTAGAAAAAAATACACACAATGGATTGGTAAATATATTACATTACTAATGCACTAGCAACCCAACAAGTCGGTGGCGTGCTAACGCAGCTGGAATGCGGCTTGCCAATACATCGAGATGGCGGCCTGCTGGCGTTACACCAGGGTGGTTTGCCAGCGATGCATCAAAATGCCCATGTGACCATCGTTGTGTCTGCAGGTGACTGTGTGCGCACATGCGTGCATGACGATGGTTGCATCGCCCTGTACAATGCGTAGGTGGTCGACGACATATCGACGGTTGTTCTATATGTATCACGTCGCCCCCGGATTGCTGTAAAGGCTGCTTAGTCGGTGCCGTCGCTGTCCGTAAGTCGGCATCATGGTAAGCCGATATAGAGTGAGTCAGAATGGTGGTGTGCGTTGTTTTGTGCCTGGTGTCTCTTCTGCAGTTCTGGCTTCATTGAAATCAGATCAACCTCGTATGCAGTAGTAAAGACTAAGTCGTCCACGTAAACGATGATGAAGAAAGAAGTGGACCCATAACGAACGAACAGTAACAAGTGAGCTAAAGAATGGCAAAACCCAAAGGAAAAAAGAGTGGTAAGCAGAGTGTCGTGCCACTCACGAGGGGCCTGGCGAAGGACGTAGACAGATAGTCTTAGACTCCTCTGGGTCCCAATGCAGCCAGGAGTATGGCGCAACCAGGTCTGCTCGTGCAGAGTCCCCTTGAGAAAGGCAGTGGAAGAGTTCATGTAACTCGTAATCACGCAGTGAAATGACATGCATCGGAACCTGAAATGTGCACGTCTTCGCGGTGGGGGAGAAGGTATAGAAGTAGTCTGCTCTCTCACACGGACTGAAGCCTCTCGCCGCGTACCGGGCCTTGAAAACAGTCAAAGTTCCAGGTAATCGGTTCCCCTTAAAGATTCATATGCCACCGACTACGCTCGCCAAGGAGGAAGAACTTTGTCGCCGTAAGTGCTTATGGATATCCAAAATGCATATCTGCGTCCATATTTGTCATCCACTAAGAGGCCCAGGGTCTCGAGACTACCTCTGCGTAAGAGTGAGGTGTCTGGATGTCACTTGCATTGGGGTCTCCCTCGGGGGCTAGCAACATGATTATTAGGAACTCCAGTTCAAAACTGACTGCCCTCTAGGACGTTACAGCCATGGGCAAACTCACCCCCAGATGATGGAAAGCAAGAGACACCAACTGAATGGCGTAGTCAAAGCGACGGGTGGAGACAAAGCCAGTGACAGCACCAACAAGAGTCGAAGCACACGACGGATAGGTAGTAGGGTAAGTGACGAGAGAGGAGGGAACACGGGAGATGATATGGCGAGAAGTACGGAAGCAGTCAGTAGGAGGGGAAGCTATGTTGAAATAATGAGAGACAATGCAGGAGGTAACGGGAGAACAAAGGGAGGGGGAACACGATGAGAGAGAGAATAAATTAGGGAGTGGAAGTTCGGGAAAAAAGACGAGGAACGAGCACCCGGAGGACGACGAGACCAGGGAGTGGAGGCTAGAGACGAAGTGGGAAGGAGAGGAGGAGAAAGATGCGGCCGAGACGCGTCCAGGGGAGTATAGGACCATAAATAGCAAAGGCAGCAAGCGGTCTCGTAATGGAAAAGGAATGATAAGTAGACAAAGATCACTCACGGGTGGCGACGTCCGCTGCTGCTTTTGCTACTGCTACAGCTGCTGCTGTGGCTGCTGGTGGCTATGGTGGTGGGGTTGGTGGTGGTGGCGGCGGTGGCGGCGGCGGGTGGTGGTGGTGGTGGTGGTGGTGGTGGTGGTGGTGGTGGTGGTGGTGGTGGTGGTGGTGGTGGTGGTGGTGGTGGTGGTGGTGGTGGTGGTGGTGGTGTGGTGGTGGTGGTGGTGGTGGCGGTGGTGGTGGTGGTGGTGCTGCTGCTGCTGCTGCTGCTGCTGCTGCTGCTGCTACTACTGCCATAGGAGCTGAAGCCCCGCCGAACAACGCGGGACTCCTAAGCCAGGCGGTCCAGTGGCAGCACCCCCAGCACCCCCAGCACCAACACCTCCAACACCTCCAACACCTCCAGCACCAACACCTCTAGCACCAACACCTCTAGCACCAACACCTCTAGTACCAACACCTCTAGCACCTCCAGCTTCAGCTCCTCCCACAATAGCGCCCCCATAACCAGCACCCCCAGATGTAGCACCTCCAATGGTAGCAGCAGAACCTCCAACAATAGCACCAGCACCTCAAGCGTCAATACCCCTACCAATAGCACCCATAGAATCTGCATCTCCAGCAACAGTACCCCCAAAGTTCACTTCGACCTGTCGCGGTAGCACCGAATCCTGTTGTGGTGACTATGCGGATGACGTAGGGTACTGTGGTGAATGAAACCACACCTGACATGTTACCTAGAGGGGAGGGGTAGCGTGAGACATGCCTGACGGAGAAGGACCTGCGTGGGGTGGGGGTTCCGGAGGAGCAGGACTAGGAGGAGGAATGGGAATGAGGACGAAGAGAGGGGGCCGGGGTATCTCGGTGAGAAAAGCCTGCGTAATAGGACACTGACTCGTCAAATTTGACGTCGCAAGAGTCGAAGGACCGACGGGTGGAAGGGTGATAAACAGTCAGGAACGTCTGGGGAACCAAGAAAGAAATAGCGGAGGCTGCGGGCCGAAAGGCTGTAAGCGCGAGGATCGTGGACATGCGCAAGGAAGCCGCAAACACGAAATGCAGACTCGACACAAGTGGACCAGGAAGTCGTCAGCTTGCTTTATTATATTTCCAACTAAAATTTGAGGACGTGCTTGTAACACGTAAAACTTCCCCGCACCTATCAAGGACCAAAGATTAAGTGGAGTGCTTCGATTATACGAACATAGTCCTAACTTAACTGCGCCTATGTATCGTATCACCCCGGATATAAGCGCACATGCGCTTATAATTGAATGTGATTTGTCAGGGGGGTGCGGTGCGCTTTGAATAGAGTAAAAATTACCGTATAAGCACATGCGCTTATAAAGTAACAAATATACAAAAAAATGTAGGTTAGTGAAAATCTTCGATTTGCCTTGCAAACGCCATGTCTTATTTCAACTGGGCAATACAAGGGCAAGTTTCTAGCTTGTTCTTCCCTCAAACGAGCCCGCCACGATAAGAATCGCCCCCCTGTATTGGCATTTTTTAGCCAGGAGAGCCACGAAATTTGCACCGGTATAAAATGTGAAGAAATAATTTTCAGATCGTTCGCCTCCAAGCACGATCACGTTTTCCACAATCCAATATACCTTGGGGCAAGTTTCTAGCTCGTTTCGCCCTCAAACGAGCCCGCCACGACAAGAATCGCCCCCCTGTATTGGCATTTCTATCGTCCAAGCAGTGTACAACATAAGAGCTACTATGCATCTCATGCTAGGGTGGGTGAGTGGGCGGGAAACTTGAAACTCAAAGTTTGAAATGAAAAACGTGGGTGAAGGCTCTTCGCCCCCTCTTTTGCACTGAAAAAAGGTGAAGTAGCGATTCACTGTAGCCTTTGCTTCAGTACAATCCGCTTCGCTATTCACAATACACAATTTTGAAAAGTGTTTCACATTCGATTTTTTTTTACATATCATGAAAGCTTACAATTTGCCTTGCAAAAGCAACATCTCATTTTAACTTGGTACTCTGAAACATGGAGAGGGGGGGTTGGCGGTGCCTCGTAATGGCGCGATAACGCTGTGGGGGAGAATGTGCGTGAGCTTCATCCTGGATGTTGCGAGATGCTACAATAAGGTGATCTTGCGAGATAGTCGCGTACAGGTTCTTTGCTGTCTCGCTTCGCCAATGCCCAAGTCTTTTGAAGATGCGATCGGGGACTCCCACACTAGCTGCAACCTTGGCTTCTCCTTTGCGAAATGAGTGGGTGCCAAGGTGTGTTGGGTCGATGCGTGCGGCTTCGAATGTATGCATGCACCAAGTACGCATGATGGGGTTATGTCCTTTAAGGATGGCGGTGAGTTGCGGCGGAAAACACGGATCAGCGGCTCTTTGGTGGCCGGCCCGTATTCTGCTAACAGGATGAAATAGTGGGTGCACCTCACTAGGCAGAACGGTCCATCAGATCTGGTGACAGGGATCCACCCCTACCCTCTTGATCAGTCTTTGAGTGTGAGATTAATAGCCACATTGCCGTTGCCTCAAGTTGGATGTCCTCCTATTTGATTGCCACCAAGTCGAGAAGCGCATGAACACAGAGTACATGAGTAGTACAATGAGGCCTTTCTGATATGTGCCTTGTTGGCTTGATTGGAGAAATGGCCTAGCCATTATGTGGACCTAAGAAGGGAGACAGGTGCTGTCACGCGTGCTGATTGGGGGCAGTGACGTTAGGCGTAATCGCATACTTGTATCGTGAAGGGGCCGCATGTTGAGTTGGCAAAGCCTGTCATTCAGTGGGTGAAGCTGATCGCAGCACGTGTGAGCTGGACGCTAGAGACGGTGTCCTTGTGATTGATCGCATGTACTAGGTAGAGTGCGACAATTAGGTCTGCGGCAAGCAGAAATGCCACTTTTGCCTTAACGCAAAAACGTCTAACTTCTCCCAATAAGGTTCGTATGTGTTGAATTGTTGAGTCGGACCGCGTCTGGGCTGTAATCCAAAGTAGCTGTTGATGCAACCTTAGAATCATATTGAGGGTATATTAGTATCGGAGGTTGAGTTGCTGTGCAAGGACTCTTCTAAGAGGGAGGCCGACTCCTACTGCGCCAGTATGAGAACCAACATGTAGACACTCGCTACCACTAGCAAGATAAAGACGTGATGATATGCCGGCTACCCAGGTCCTGGGGAAGGCCGGATCAGGGGCCACCATGACGCTCCCGTCCATTCGGGAATGACTAACGTCAGCGTGGCAGGCGTGCGCACGGCGTGGCGCAGGGTGGCTTGGATCAGGTGTGGAGGGTGGAGTGCAAATCCATAATCTTCTCTCCAGTCCTGGGAGAAGGCATTGTTTGTAGTGGGGATAAGAAACCTGTGAAAAGAAGCGCGAGAGTTGTGCATTATTGGCGTTTGCGAAAAGGTCGACGGTATGTGGTCCCCAACGCCTCGCCAGTAACCGGAATCAATGAATAGTCGTCGTTGTCTTCTAACTTGGAGGGTGCGTCCCCATCCACGTTGAGGGCCCAAGGAATCAATTCAATTGCCAGCTGGATTTCATTCGCCATGCATTGTGCGATATTGGACTTGCATAAGAGGGTGAGCTTGGATTGCCCGGAACCGCCATGTGCTCAAAGTTTTCGAGCTAGAAGTCGAGCTCGTCACGAGCCTCCAGGATCAGGTGTGTCCTGGCATTCCATGACGGTGCTAAATTGATGAGTTCTAGAAGTTGGTGACATCAATGTTTTTCTTGAGCAATCCTAACCAGTTAGGCATGTCGGTCTTCTCACCAAACTCCTCGCAAAAAACATCCTCGAGGAGGCAGAAGCAGCGAGCCTCACCGCGGCGTCTGCTGCATGGGGACCCGTGCGCCTGACATAAGTGCAGCGACCTCCTCCCTCGAGGCCACCTTGCTGGACCACCCACTCATGCGGCTACAGCGGCGAAAGGGTCTACTGCTGCTGTCCACCCCCGAAACCTTCGCCTCCACTAGCTGTGCGCCCAGACGTAGCTCTCTGACCTCCACCCCCGCTGGCTCCACCACGACCGCCACCCGAGCCGCCTCCGCCACCCCAAGTGCCGCCACCACCTCCGCCACCCCCACCACCCCCATCACCACCACCTCCACTGTCCCCACTATCGCCACCATCACCGCCCCCGCCATCGTCACCCCTGTCGCCACCCTCACAACCCTTGCCCTTCTGACGCCCACCCTTGTTGCGCCTCCCGCTAGGAGCGGCCGCCACACCTGCTACTTCAGCATCGAGGAAGTCAACAGCAGCAACAGAAGCGACAGAGGGTGCAAGGAGGGAAGGAGCACACCCCTCAAAGAAGGAGGTGTGGAAAGTACCACAGGAGGCAGCTACTGCGTGGGCACTGGCCTCAGCCTCCAAGAGTCATGACTCAAACAAGTCCAGGGTGAACTCGGTAGGGTCAAGAGAAAAAAAGTGGTCTCGGATGGGGCGAATGGAGTCAGGAAGATGGGTCACTAGGAAGTAGAGAGCGCTGTACATCGAGGGAGGGTTCTTAGCCAGAAACGCTGGCTTGAGAGTAGCACCGTAGCGAAGGTCACTGGTGCGCAGGTGAGTCATGAGGTCAGCGACAGTGGCGTAGAGCGGTAGAGGAGGGAGAGGAATGGCGCTTTACTACAGTGTAATAAAGGTCCTTGGCAGTTTTCAACCGGCGAAAGTGGGTGCGCTGGACGGGCAGGAGGTGGCTACGAACTGCGAGCGCAGTAACGGCGTCGCGTGCTAGCTATGCGGTCAGCATTAGACTTCTACTATGCTTCTATCGGCGCAGTAAGGGTAGGCTCAGTCAGAGTGGGAGGGGCTGGGAGGGAACCTGAGGTGTGCTCAAAGAAAGAAACATTTGTCGCGGGTAACGCTAAGCAGGTATAGGTGAAGCCCTTAAAGCCACGACTCGTAATAGACAGTGAAAGCCTTGGCGTCAAACTTAAGGACAGTAGGAGTCGCCATTGTCAGCAGTGCGGCCTAGCGACCGTGAAGTAGAAGGTATAGTGCTAGGACCGAAAGGCAGTATTGGGCCCGAACGGCGCGGATAGGCAGAGCGGCAAGGCAGGGCAGCTTGGTAGGGCACAGCAGCTCGGGCAGCAGGCGGGAAGTAGCACAGGGAGCAGGGCAAGGTAGCGCAGGCGGCAGTGCAGGCAGCCAGGCGGCAGCGCAGGCAGTAGGTAAGGCAGAGGCAGTAGGTAAGGCAGCGGCAGTGCGGGCGACGCAGGAGCGTAGTAGGGTAGGATAGCGGCAGTATGGCAGCGCGCAGGGCAGTATGCTACAAGGCGGGCTGCAACACTAAACAGTATAGGCAGCAGCGCGAGCGGCAGTGTAGTAGCGCACGAGAGGTAGCGTGCGATAGGGTAGAGTGCGGGCAGCGTAGCAGGGCACCGCGCAGGCGCGTCGAGCAGCAGGCAGAGGATGTGGCAGGGCAGCGCGCGGGTGCAGCAGGGCAACGCGGAAGCGTGGGAGGGCAGTGTGCAGGCGCGGCTCGGCGGGCAGCAGCGTGCAGCAGTGGCGACGCACTGAACAGAGGCGCGCGCAACGCGCGGGGCAGTGATGGCACACGATGCGCGGGACAGCAGTGGCGCGCGACGCGCGGGGCAGCGGTGGCGCACTACGGGCAGCAAAAAGGGGGGTCGCGACGGGCAGCGAAGGCGCGCGGTGGGCAGAGAAAACAGCGCGCTAGAGGGGCACGCCATGGGCAGCGGAAGGGGCAGCGGTAAGAGCGGGCCTGAACAAATTTTCGGTCCGTAAACGGGTGGTCCTAAGGACTTTACGTACTCTAACCCATGTTGAAAAGAAAGGCTAGGATGATGATGAAATTTGTGCTAGAATAGTAGCATAAGTGGCCTAGGGTTTTGTGCCTAGGCCAAGGATGAGAGTTGTGCCAAATAAGAAGTGGAGAGAAAATGATGACTAAAGGGCCAAAGGCCCAGATTATACAAGAAACAAGGCTTGAAGTGGTGCACTACAGACAAAATGAGATATGTACACTACACCTACAAACAATTATACAAATATGTATAACCTATTTTTACAATTAGGTCAAGAGAGGCATACGAGTAAAGTGTCGAGGATATTTGTTACCCTCTAAGATGCAAACCGCTACAGCATATATATGTATATTAAATTTTAAACATACGAAGTGTTTTTTAAATTACGTATTTCGAAAGCGCAAATACTTGTAATACACATTTTGGCATCGTCGAAGCGCGCTAAACGCCCTTCTCCAACTACAAATCGTGGGTTGGAGCTCATTTCCCTCCACCCACGTCTCTCATTTTTCAAACGGCTCATGCAACTCTCACACCCCCCACCCCAACGCTGATGGACATCACGGACGCCGTTTGAACAAGAAGATCGATCGCAAGTAGCATGATGGATAGCAAGTATCACAATTAATAGCTAGCACAATGATTGATACATAGTATAATAACATGTACTAGCAATTCTGTTTCCTAGCTCGAGATGCATGTTGTAATTGGCAGTTGAAATAAGAAAGATGCCTAGTTCAAATGGGAACGATGCCAAATAATAAGTAAGAGAAAGCAAGCTTTTTAAATATATAAATATACTTTGACATGTAACCCTTCCATAGGATCAATCGGGGATCTTTAGTGCACCTCTAACGTATTGTACGGATTATGAAAATGAGTTGCCAAGATACCATCAAATGTAGCACTGACATTTCTGGATACCTCGCCCGGTGCAGCACTGACAAATCAGGGCAAATATTGATTTTGTATAGAAATGCCCTTGGGCCTAAACGTATCTTCAAACGAATGTGAGGGCCTAATCAGGGGCCATATGCAGGGCCCTAGATATCAGTCTTTTTACACTGAATCCAAAGTTTGTTATTATCGTAGGTTTGGTGCTGGTTTTTCAGCCATTTTATTTGTACCTTGTCTGGTTTTTCAGACATCTTATGTGAGTGTACGCTGATCCTGCAGTTTTACGGGCCCCTTGCTAAATCCGCGAAATGTGCCCGTACCTCACC